GATAGGTATACTGATGCAATTAGTTAGCATTACATCTAGGTGTTCCTGATTACAAAAAAAAACATAAATTTGGCTGGGTGCAGTGGCCCATGTCTGTAATCCCAGCACTTTGGGAGGCTCCGGTGGGCAGATAACCTGAGATTGAGTTTGAGACCAGCCTGGCCAACATGGTGATACCCTGTCACTGCTAACAATACAAAAATTAGCTGTTGTGGTGGTGTGTGCTTGTAGTCCCAGCTACTTGAGAGGCTGAGTCAGGAAAATTGCTTGAATCCAGGAGGCAGAGGTTGCAGTGAGCTGAGATGGCACCACTGCACTCCAGCTTGGGTGTGAGACACTGTCTCAAAAAAAAAAAAAAGTGTAAAAGTTTAACCAAATTAAATCATGTAAATGACAAGCTTTACTTAAACAGTAATTATGTTTTCTAATAAACTCAACTTCAAAAAATCTCCAATAACTTTTCATAATTTAAAATGTTAGATGTATATTAGATTAAGTTAGTTAATAGGTATTCCTTAATATCTAATGTAATATCTAGATCATTTCTTAAATGATAAAACACAAAGGCATGCTTTTAATTTATATACTTTTCATCCCTTATTTTTATAGTTTAGAGAAGCTGTATATACTAATATATATAAAGTATATGCAAAGCCAAATTTAACTTGGCTCTGTTAATAAACATATTGATTCTTGCCAGATTAAAATGTTATAGTATAAAGAAGGATATGGATATTAAAAAAGTATAAAATTTATATTCATAATATCTGCTTATTTACTACAAAATGCTGACAAACCTTACAACTATCCATCTCATAGTTATAGCTATAAGTTAAACATTATTATAATTAAAAATTATAAATGGTTTTCCTAGGAAAAATCATGACATAAGGCTACTTTGTAAATAAGATATACAAGACATTTTTAAAAGATATAGTGCTATCCTAATAGAAAGTGACTAATTATCCTAAAAATGTGTAAAAAATGAATTAAATGTACAATTATAAAAGATTCCTTAAAAAACAATATTTTTTCATGGTCAATGTTGACTAAATTTTAAAAGGTTTCTAAGAAGATTTTTTAAAATAGCATCAAATATTATACTGATGCAAAACTAAAATTTGATTTTTCTCTATTAAAATGACAAAATGTTACTGGACTTCTTGTTTGCTATAAATAAGAGATTGTAAAATATGTTTTAATTCGGTTTCAGTATAAAATGCTGGAAGGCAAACATTCTATATCATTTTATTTTATTTTTTATTATACTTTTAAGTTCTGGTGTACATTTGCAGAACATGCAGGTTTGTTACATAGGTATACATGTGCCATTGTGGTTTGCTGCACCCATCACCGTGTCATCTATATTAGGAATTTGTCCTAATGCTATCCCTTCCCTAACTCCCACCCGCTGCTATCCTTCCCCTAGCACCCCCTCCACTAACAGGCCAAGGTGTGCTCCATGCATTCTCATTGTTCAACACCCACTTATGAGTGAGAAAATTCAGTGTTTTGTTTTTTTGTTCTTGTGGCAGTTTGCTGAAAATGATGGTTTCCAGCTTTATCCATGTCCCGACAAAGGACATGAACTCATCCTTTTTTACGGCTGCATAGTATTCCATGGTGTATATGTGCCACATTTTCTTTGTTCGGTTTATCACTGATGGGCATTTGGGTTGGTTCCAAGTCTTTGCTATTGTGAATAGTGCCACAGTAAACATACCTGTGCATGAGTCTTTATAATGTAATGATTTATAATCCTTTGGGTATATACCCAGTAATGGGATTGCTGGTGTGTATTTCTAGTTCTGATACTTGAGGAATCGCCACACTGTCTTCCACAATGGTTGAACTAATTTACATTCCCACCAACAGTGTGAGAGGATTCCTATTTCTCCACATCCTCTCCAGCATCTGTTGTCTCCTGATTTTTTAATGATCGCCATTCTAACTGGCAGGAGATGGCATCTTAATGTGGTTTTGATTTTCTTTTCTTTACTATCTTATCAGATTATTTTTCTCTGCCTTATGAGGACTTAACTACAACCTTAATTATTAAAAATTAAAAAAACCTAAAACACTTCAATGTTTGCTCATGTCATATTAAGAAATCAAAACCAAACTTTGAGTGTTCACAAGAAAGATCCTTAAATGCACGTAATAAAGGAAAGTTGATCAAAATTGTTAACAAAGACATTAAACAAACTTGATAAAATGGAATGTAGGGGTGATAACATTAATATCAGATAAGTTGAAACTGTGTTTATAGTTTCCTCCCAATTTTTATGTTCAAATTCACTACTAATAACAAAATACAAATTTAATTGACAATGAAATATAAGAGTGTATTCATCAGAATGGAAAAGTTAAAATGAACGGTGATTTTTTTTTGCTATTAGGGATGCAGGTAAAAACTCTCATGTCTTGCTGGTAAAAATGCAAAATGCCCTAAGCTTTTTACAGCGAAGTCTGGCAATATCTATGATCTTATGTAATTTAAAATGCATGTACATTTTGACTTATTCCTTCCACTTCTTGTAATCTTTCTCTTAGAAATAAAAGCATACAAATTGACTACACTAATTACTATCATGAAGAAAATAATGAATATGATCAATAATCATTCCTAGGGCACTAACTGAATGACTAAACTATGGTATAGCTACACAATGTAGTACAGGGATTGCTTCTTTGATTCTTTCATTCATTCATTAACTCCTTTCAGTTTTATTTAGTGAATACTATATGTTAAATTCTATCCTATGTTCTGGCAATACAGTGGTGAATAAAGACTTCTTACTTCATTGAGTTTAAAGTACTCTGGTTGGGAAAGAGAGAGACAATTAAATAAACAAGTAGATCATCATTATATTAGAACTGATAAAAGCTCCGAAGGGAGAATAAAAATAGAAGGAGATGGGAGTCTGATGTTGGATTCCCTCAGAGGGTGCACAGATCTGAGGAGCTGAAGGAGTCAGTCATGTCTTGTCTATGGATCTGTCATATCTATTCTAATGAATAACTTCCCTTTGGAATTTTTTTTCTGACTGGCCTATGACTCCTTCAAGCAGTATAAATAATCCCGTGAATATTTAACTCTAAAGAAGCTTCTTATAATTAATTGACTACTTTTAGAGAGTCTCAAGGCATTTATTGACAGAAAAAACTAGAAAGTGAAATATTTATGAACGTGTACAATTGCTCAGCACCTTGCAGAGTACTGCAGATGTTCTCCATTATCTGTCTCCATATCTGGAAGGAAGCATCAGTCTGAACTCAAGCTCAAAGGAAGAATCTTAGAGCAAGCAATGAAAATGTTCAAGTAGGAATATTGGGAGTGAATAAGAATTTTAAAAACAGGTGTGAACATGAATCTTTAAAAATCAATATGTAAGGGTGTGGAATAAACCTTCTCCCTACTCCAGACATCTTTTCTTCATAAATGCGGAGGCAAGTAGACTGAATCATTATTTCTATTAGGTAAATTCAAGCTAAAAGTCAGTCATTAAATATTTACATTTGCCAAAAAATTAATAAATAAATCCAGAGATAAGCCCAAGGGACTCTCCTATAGGATATGAAAAATACTGTAATTTCTTCCTGAAGTTAATAAAAAGAAATATATGGATGGTCATTACATATTCAAAGACAATTACTAACCTAAAGGTAATGGCTTAATTGTGCTTCTGCATTAAATCCTTCAGTATGCAAATTAGATTCATAACTACAATAGGTTGAAATTGTAGGAAATTCCTTAATGTAAAAACAAAAATAAGGCACTTTAGGTATCTATAGAGGATTATGTGATCTTACTACATAATTTTGTTAGAAACTCCACTTTGAGGGTAGCAGGTGAGAGTGGATGGGTCACGTTACAATAGGTTGTGAGTATCCCAGATAGCTCTTCTGTGTCAGCCAAGAGATGTAGCGCATAATTGCTGCTCCTTCCTCTTTACTTGTGTTTTGGAGCACATGCTTTAATCTTTGAAAGATTCAGCGTGTGTTTCAGCATCCTTTTATATGCATTAAATAATACACACATTTTTATACAAAAGAAAATAATATAAAATAAAAAGTTTACAAAATTATTCATAACAAGTACACTATTTCAATTTGTATTTCTTATTTCCAAGGAATTAAAAAAATCTTTTAGAGAATTATACTGATAAACGACAACAACAACAACAACTTATGGCCAGGCACGGTGGCTCCCGCCTATATTCTCAGCACTCTGGGAGGCCAAGGAAGGTGGATCACAAGGTCAGGAGTTTGAGACCAGCCTGGACAACACTGTGAAACTCCATCTCTACTAAAAATACAAAAATTAGCAGGCTGTTGTGGTGGGCACCTATAATCCCAATTACTCGGGATGCTGAGGCAGGAGAATCACTTCAGCTTGAGAAGCAGAGGTTGCAGTGAGCTGAGATCACGTCATTGTGCTCCGACATGAGTGACAGAGCATGACTCTGTCTCAAAAAAAAAAAAAAAATGGTAAGAGGGGTAGGGCTCTTTTTTTCCTTCTGTGTTTGTTTTATTTATCTAATTTGCAGATACCCTCTCTTGTCTACTGATCCATTTCACAGAGGGTCAAAATAGAGATGTCAACAAAGCAATCTTGGAAAGGCTACCACATGGGGGAGTCCTGCTGCATTCTCTAAAAATCTATAATACTCCAAATTTTTACCTTTATTTTCTGTTTGTTCTACTCTTTAGCACCTTAATAAAACACTGAAGAATATTCCCCTTCTTTCTATTCCACTGAAAGCTAAACACCCTCCGAGGAGACATTCCCTTCTCCTCCAATGAGAGTTGTCCCAAACGCCTTATTTCCTTGCAAAATAACACAGGTGTGCTTGGAAGTAATAATATTCTGATTTTTACTCAGTATATATGCAGTGAATAAATACTGAAATGTGTGTTTTGTTCTAAGTTGTTCACTGGAAATAAAATCTCCTATCAGACAATGATACATTAGCAATGATCAAACAGAGATATCTTACTGCTTCGCTCAGGCCTCAGCAATGTTTTTGTCTTCTTGTTCTGACTCCCACTTTCATGAAGGGCCTTGAACCAGTCCCGCAATCTGTTTGCCACTTCTCTGAACTCCAGGTCACTGCATGCTAAAACAGAGAAACAACAGTGTTGAAAATATCTCAGTACAATGTCAGTGCGATTTTCCCCATTATTCCAACAAATTGAAAGATAACAACAACTAAAAGAAAAGAGATAGCTGTGTTTCAGCTTTTCAAAGTTAAACACGTGCTTCAAAATAAGATGTAATACGACAAGAACATTTTATTTAATAAAGAAGTGGTATCAGTGGAATTCTATTTGTACTCTTCATTAGAATATGGCACTTGGAAGATTTGTATTATTAACACCACAAAAATTGAGACATAATATTTATGTCATAAATACTTTTTTATGGTGGGGCGGTAGGTCATCTGAGAAAATAAAGGATTGGAAATCCAAAATAAATATTATACATTTATTGTTGGCCATATCTGTTATAAGATGTCACAATTTATTCTTCATTCATATACTCAGTATATGTAGGAATGCACTATTATAAGTATATGATGTTCCTATTTGACTTAATACTAGTATTTGTTAAGCACAGAAAAAAGACAGCTATATAACTTGTAGTTTGGAAAAAAACTATAAAATATTTATGAAAATACTATAATGTTTCTGTTGTAAAAAGAATTATTGCCAAACTTTGACATTTGGACTAAAGTAACTTCCTCTTCCTTTTTAAAATATATCATTATATATCAATAATTATATTCTTTAAAAATAATTTACTCAATAAGCAATACCAGAATATATTATGTGTGTGTGAGTGGCATATAGTATTCAAATTTAGAACTTCACTGCAAAAATATTTTGAAAATGCACTTTAAAAGCCACTAATTTACATTGTTTAGAGGACACTGTTACTGCAGACCATGCTGCAAATGTGCAATTTCCTCAATTCACAAGTAACTCATGCTAATACTCGTTTGTCCATTTGGTTAAAAAATTATGTAATTATATTATAGTATGCTTTATTACATTTAATAGATGCCATACACATTCTATTATTTGTATCACAAACAACATAATGTAATGTAATTGGATGTAATACCATCCCAGACCATTTCCCAGCTCTAAAGCATGGGTATTCAATCTTTTGGCTTCCCTGGGCCACACTGGAAGAAGGATTGTCTTGGGCCATAAATAAAATACACTAACAGTAATGATAGCTGATGAGCTAAAAAAGAATTACAAAAATACATGAAAGTTCTTCACATGTACCCTAGACGTAATGTGTAATAATAATAAATTGCTAAATCATCTCATAATGTGTTAAGAAAGTTTGCAAAGTTGTGTTGGGTCGCATTCAAAGCTGTCCTGTGTCACATGCAGTCTGTGGGCCATGGGTTGGACAAGCTTGATATAAAGGAAATAAGGTCCTAAATTTAAAGAAATTCCCCAGTACCTGATATGGTGGAATGATCAAATTAGCAAATCATTGTGATGTTTTAGAACACTGGAGACAAAATGAAGATCTTATAAACTTCCATGGGGGCAATAACTAAAATCGTTACATACAAGGAATAAGAAATCAGAAATAGCTTCCAGTTTTTAAATAACATTGGAAGGCAGCATCACAACGGAAAAAATATTTCATATTTCTAAGAGAAACAAGGAGGAAAGTAAGGTAAAGAAATTTTTGCATATAAAAAGTTTGAAAACTAACCATCCATACAACCTTTGCCCAGGATGCTACTGCCATATGAGACACACCCGAGAGAAAATCAACAGGAGGATGTCTGAGTCACAGGAACTACAGAAGAGAGAGGTGAGGGCGTTTCTAGGAAGCTGGTGAAGGTTAATTACAGAGTGTGTGCTGTGTGCAGAGCAAGACAGCAGGTAGGATTGAGAATTTTCGGCCAGCAACAGAGCAATGTACAGAATCCATTGGTATCCTTTCATCCAGGGAAAACAATAAACAATAGTGAAAACCAAAGAAACCATCACTTTAACTGATAAGATCCACCACAGCTGAGGCTGAGGTAATAAGGCAAAAAATAGCATACTCCTGATACGAATGCTTACGCTTTAGCCTGCTGTGTGTGCTTAAGCCTTCTTGGCATAGGTCTTCTGCTCCCCTTAAAGGGATAGGCACAAGAAAACAAAAATGTACTTGAAAAAGAGGAATTCTGCATATTCATATATGCTTGTATAAGCATCACATATCTCTAGAAGGATTTCTATGAAGATGTAACTACCAAGGGAACTAGATTAATGGAAGAAATTGGTGTGAGAGTTTTATTTTTACCATTGATCTATTCTTTTAAATTATGTACTATATAGTTGTATTAATGTTCAAAACTCAACAAAAAAATTAAAATTAAAAAAACAATTAGAAATGCATTTAACCCTTGACCAAGGAATTCTGTTTCTTAAAAGGTATCGTGCAGGTATACTACATGTACAGAAACACATTCATTTAAATTGTGCCACTTTGTGTATTCAGCACTTTTTAAATAGCAAGTTTGTTAACAGCAGAATACTCTATCATGCACATTATGGAGGTGAGATCCGAGGAAAGGCAATGAACATTTATTGATCATATTCATCAACTCAAACATTGGGGTATTGGCTTCTTTGATAACACCATCAGCTAGTGAATTCATGTAATCTTGTCCTGGTACTTCTAATTCAAAACAATTTCTATTATTTTAAATTAACACCTTTCCCTACAAAAAAAAACAAACAAACAGTAAATCAGTCACATATCTACACAAGGATACTGTATAGTCACATCCCAGATTCTTAGTATTATTCAGAAAGGTTCATGTATAATGAGAATTGACTTGATAGAGATTTCAGGAACAGTTCAGTAACTTCCATAAGCCCAGGACATCTTAGTTTTAGAGGCCCCAATCTGTAGCATTTATTAAAATTATACTTTATATATAGAACTTTTGAAAACATTTTATATAATTTTTCAAGTTAATTTTCTTTTGCCAACAATTAACTGATTTACTTTAAAACTGGCAATGATTTATCTGAAAACCATTGAACAAAGCAGGGATTCTTGCCAAATTGGAAACTTTAAACCATACACTTCCTAAAATTAATTAAATTTGATAAATATAAAATTTAAAAATTAACCAAGTGGACATATTTTATAAATACTAAATGAAGTATTTATTAATATTAATTATACATTTTTTTCATTTTGTATTTCAGAGTCAATAAATATTTTTCAGCTCTCAAACTTTTACATAAGTTGTTACATTTTAATAGGCACAAAACTCTCTGCCTATCACAAAAATCTCTTAAAATGACCCTCATTCCCTCACATTGTACTAACTGAATGTTTCTGTTCACCCAGATTCATATGTTGAAACCTAATCTACAATGTTAGGGTATTGGGAGGTAGGGACTTTGGGAGGTGATTAGGCCTTGACCATTGGGATTAATGCTCTTTTAAAATGGAGTCCAGTAGGACCCCTCTCCCTTCCCCACATCAGAACACAGCAGGAGGAATACCATCTACAACCGGGAAGCCCTTTCATCAGATACAGAATTTGCTGGTGCTGCTCTCATTTAGGACTTATGGTCTCCAAAACTGCGAGAAATTAATTTCTGTTATTTATAAGCCTGTGGCATTCTGTTATTCTTAGTAGCCTTAATTGCCTATGACACACTATTACATGATGAAATGTAGTTATCAAAAACACAAGTTGATTAAAGAATGAATATACTCGTATCTGGCAATGTGAGTTGTTAATTATGACTACGTTATTCAATAAGGAAGCTCAGAAGTAAACACAGAGGTCCAGGCAGAGGGGATGCTCTGGGAAGTTTCAAAGTAGAGGCAGAGTCCACATTTTATTGTGTATTATTTTTCAGGAAGTGTTATCAGTTTTGTTCCAATAGTACATTTAACAAGTTGTCTTCCATCTCTATTACACTTGATTGACAAAGTTTTTAAAAGCACTTCTAAGGTCGTCATTCATTTTTGCTTAATGTTAGAAAATAATACTTTACATCACAAATAATGAAATGAAGTAGTATAGGTATTCATGATATAAAGAAATTCAGTAAATTTAGTTCACAAAATACCAGGCATAAATTATTATTTTTTTCCCTTATGACTTTTTGGTGACATTTTTCTAAGTCTGATCTATGAGGCGAAGAAATGCAACACACCATTCTCTCTCTCCATAAATAACAAATATTTGCTATCACCATCTTCCAACAATGTCATGTTTAGGAATTTTGATGGCCTTCCTGATGGGATTAGTTTGTATATGAGTGTGGTACAGTTAAAATCTGGCAGAATACAATTACTCTAAAGGCAAGAAGGCTTGAGTTGGCTCCTATGTGATTATTTTCTTTCGAGACAAGCCAATTACACAAAGAAACGTCCAAAGAACATGTCTCAGTGCCAACTCCCATCCTCCCATTACACAGGGCCAGAATGCCCTAGAGATGTGAAAGGGACGATAGAAGACAAAGAGCTCTGCTGGCACAATGTCTACTTCAGATGGAGAGGCAAGGAGGATTCATTACTTGTTGATCTCTACTCTTAATTATTCAAGTACAGATAATCATGTATTCTTGAATTGTCTCTATTTTTATACCTTGCTGTGACAGGCACAAAAGGTAATTTATAAACATTTATGATTTAAGTGGCACAGATTCCTGCCTTTATTTCTGAGTGGCTTTTTTTTTTTTTTACACAAAGCTTTGAGTATTTGCTTTATTTGATCTTTTATTCAATACACATTCAGATAAACCTGCTTACAAATATGTAAAGAATAAGATAAACTTACATAATCTTGAAGAATTCTTTTAGCTTTTTATTTATTTTTCGGTGACTTTTAGTTTATGATATCCTTTCAAGAATCTCTATCTCCTTGTCCCATGCTCTAATCTTCCATAAAGATTGTTTCTTTCTTTCATTGGAAAGGCCATTTATGAATCATCTAGCCGTTAGAAATTTTAAACTCTAGATTACTTTACATGAGTGATTGAAACATTTTTACATTTTTAATAACAGTATTAAAAACTGTTTTTTTCTGGGTAACATAGTAAGAGATGCCAATTTTGTAAACGTATA